TCAGTAGATTTCAATGGATCTGTGTGTTGTGAAATTACCACAAATCCTGAGGAGGGGGAAAACAAAGAAAAACCCACCGCAATGCTCTTCGGGCAGCGATAAAGCAAAGTTACTGTTCTGTGAGAAAACACTCTAACCCTTGGTGTTTTGAATTCTAAAATACTTATTCCTATCTCCATTTTGTTCACGGTTCTCCACCCTACTTCAGATACTTCACATTTCTGGAACCCCATATTCCACGCCAATGTCCCTCCCATCCTTCTGTGATCCAGCATGTGAACCCTTCCCTGCTGCACAGGCTGGACTCTAGAATGTGCCCCCACAGGCTGTGTCTGAACACTCAGTAGCTCCTCCTTGGTCGAAGGGTGTTGTTTGACTTACACTTCCAGGGTACAGCCCATCACTGAGGGAAGTCGGGACAGGAACCCGAGGCAGAAATCTGGAGGCACACAGCATGCTGGCTCTCTCTCCCGGCCCAGACTTTGCTTTCTTATACAGCCCAGGGGCACCTGCCCGGGGATGGTACCGCCCACAGTGGGCTGGGCCCTCTTACATCACTAGCAATCAAGACAATTCCCACCCAGAGGAGCCCCCAGACCAATCTGATCAAGCCAGTGACTCAGCCAAGACTCCTCTCTCAGGTGATTCTGCACTGGGTCAAGACGACAATTAATGCTAAGTAGGGTGTTTATCATGGTCTTCAAGAAATGTGTAACAGGGCAACAGAAGATGCTAAACCCTGTCGCCACCTGTAGGAAAATCTGCAGCCATTTTTTTCATGGGTTTTAATAGCTCTCAGTAGTCACTAAAAACAGAAAGAAGGAAAATCAATAAATACATAAAAGACCCGACAGCACTACCAATCAACTTGACCTAATCAATACTTATGGAGAACCTCACCACACAGTGGTAAATTCACTCTCTTTTCAAGTACAACATGGCCTGTTTGCCAAAATGACCACATCCTAGGCTATAAAGCAAATCGTAATAAATGTAAAAGCATTTGAATCGTGGGATATACATTTTCTGTCCACGAAAGAACTAAATTAGAAATGATGACAGAAAACATAAAAAGAAAATCTACGTATTTGTAAACTAATGACACATCTCTAGTTAATTCCTGGGTCAGAGGCCAAGTCAAAGGGGCAAATGGGGTGGGAAAATGGATGATCAGCCATTAGAGGTCTTTGCCAACAGGCCTACCCACCGGAGTTCGATCCTCAGAACCCACCTGGTGGAAGCAGAAAACCAACTCCCACAAGTTGTCCTATGACCTCTGCAGGCATGCCATGCAGAGTATGAACACACACATTTGTACTCACATGCTATAAATAAGTCTTTTTGTTTAATCTGGGGAAAATTTTGAACTGATCAAGAATAGAAATACAACCTATCAGAATCTGTGGGATGTCATTGCAACAGGATTAGAGAGAAATTAATACCACACTAAAAGTCATTATTGGAAAAGAAACCTAAAATATTTGGCCTTACCACCCTAACTAGAAATAACAAGCAAAATATAGTAATTCGATATGAGCAAAAGAAAGGAATTCTCAAAGACCAGGGCAGAAATCAACGCAATAGAAAACAGAAAACAAAACAAAACAAAACAAAAGCTAGTGCTTCAAAAAAGATCAAGAAAACTTCTAGACCCCAGCCAGACTAATCAGAGCAAAAGAGGCAGTCCAAATCGTCAGAAACAGAGAAGAGTATCACCCTTGAGGTCACAGATGTGAAAATAGAACACCAGAAACCTTTATGCCAACACACAACAAACCAGGCACTTGCGTGAGACAGGCAGTCCCCTAAGGACACAGCTAATCACACTCAGAGAGGAAAAGAACTGGAGGGCTGGTGTGGACCGTATGCCTGCCAATCAAAGCTTAGCGGGCAGAGGCAAAAAATAGCAGCAAAGCTCAATCCAGGCTGGTCTACACAGCGAGTTCCAGGTCTGCCCAGCTGTGCAGTGAGTCCCTGTCAACAAAAAGAAAAGACAGACAGACAGAAAGGAAGGAAGAGAGGGAGAGAGGGAGGGAGGGAGGGAGGGAGGAAGGGAGGAGAACAAGAGACAGGAAAGGAACAGGGAGGCAAGGGGAGGGAAGAAATCTGAGTTAAGTGACTTGGTGGTAGAGTACTTTCTCAGTATGCACAAGGCCATGGGTTCTAGCCTCAGCTCTGGAAAAGCACATTGAAACACCTTACATCCGTTAGCAGAAAGTGTCCCACATAGAACGACAGGCCTGAGTGATCTCATTGATAAATTTTGACATGCAAACTGCTCATGGAAGGTGGATGTGCTTTATCATCTATAAGATGCACTTCAGGATACTGTGATCCCTCTATCTGTGACATCAGTGTCTGTGAGTTTGGTTGCCATCCTTCGAGACCCAAAGATACACCACGATGAAAGATGTTGACGGAGGTGGGATGTTGCATCCACCTGAATTAATAGTGAGGTTGTTCTGTGTTTCGGGAGCTATTGTTAAACTCGTTGCATGTGATTTTTAAGATCAACTTCATCGTAGACATGTGAGTTAGAGACAGCATAGTGTAGGCAGGGTTGGTGGAAAGGTTTCTAGACTCCCCCCGGGGCTCTTGAGAGATATCATTATGGGTAAAGGGAAGGGGGATAGTGCAATGCTTTTGTGAAACTGGGTACTTGGGGGGAAGGACGGGTGATAACTGCCCCGAGTCTCCCTGTGGGCCCAGTGGAGGGGCAGCTTTTAGCATGATCCATGCCTCCCACTTGGAGAAGCACAGAGAGGTTCATTCTGTGGTCCTATGACCAACAGCGATGATGCAGGCCCTCTGTGTGTCCATGATTGCTGTAGGATTTGAATGACTGACTCCCTACTTCTGAGCTATTTGGAGCAGCAGCTGGGAGAGATGCTGTTAGGTTCCCACACAGGAGCCAGGTTCTGCCGTGGCACCAGAAGTCCAGGACTGTCCTTCCATGAGTTCTGGGTGAGTCATCCCCTCTCTTTCAGTCCTTGTCAGGAACTCGGGGGGGAGGGGGACCCCACCTCTCTTCTCCCATCCTTCTGCCCCTCCTTCCTTTACTCGGGGCTTGTTGGTATTGACACATGCAGATACAGAGCCACAATCTCAGGATGCCCCATGCTGACCATGTTGTATCTTCTACCCTCCACCCCAACTCCAAACACGGTGTTCTGAGGATAGCCCGTTTCATAACTGTGCTCATAGAATAAGCAAATAAGTATAATCCCTGAGTATAATTGCATATTGTACGGTCTCAGCTGCTGTTTCTAATGTGGTAATGAAATTACTGTAGTCAAGTTACAACATGCTTTATGATATTAACACAACCTGCAATTCGTAGAATCCAGAACTTTCTTGCACTTATGAAAAATGTTTGTCTTGCATTTTCCTAAGGGTCATAAAATCCAGCAATTTGTGTAATTCATTTTTATATACTCTTAAAAACCTGAATTGTGGAAAATTCTCTCCGATAAATCTTTTATTCAGCAGATGCTCCATGGATCACTGTGAGGAGTTTGATGGAGTCACACAGTGTCAATAAATGTTCACATCTCTGTATGTGTAGTGTTCTGAGGACCACTGTGAGGAGTCTGATGGAATCATACAGTGTCAATAAATGTCCACATCTTTTTACGTGCAGTGTTCTGAGGATTTCTACTGCATCACCTCACACAGCTTCTGAGAGTCACAAGGAAGAAATTACATAATACAGAGCCCCCCCCCCCCAACTGGTTCCCACACAGTGGGGACCTGAATCTGCAGTCTGGACCTTCTCAGCTTTTGGACTAGACCATGGGATACTACGGAAAGTGGCCTCCCACCCCATGTGGCCTATGACCCAGAAGCCCCTGCACCCCTGGAACCTGAACAAATACACACTCACATTTCCCCAGCCTTGCTGAATCAGAAACTCAAGAGGTGACCAGCTATCTATGTCTCCTCTGAAGGTGAGTTTCCCACATGTGCAGAGAGCCTCCACAAGAGCCAGGTATCACATCAGCATGCCATAGTGTCACGGTCCCTCATGCTGTTCGTGGTGACTGGGTGTCTGCCGAGGAGGTCAAAGCACTGGTCATCACGGCTGCAGCATGCCGCCTATCTGAGAGTGTGCAGAGTGTGGAGCCTGGGTGGGGTGATTCTAGGAGGCGGAGGACCTGGGGAGCTAGCGGGCAGGCTCTTCTGACATGGCGTCCTCACCTGGGGTGTAAGACTTACTATGTGACTCAAATACCGAGAGAGGCACACAGTAGTTCATTTTACTCACTGAGGCCTGAGCTGGGAGGAGTCAGCCCTAATGAAACCAAAATGCTTCAAATTTCTGCTGCAATGTCTCCAGGAAATGAGAGATGGGAAAATGGATGGGTTGTTTACAGCCGACACTCTCACTCCCTAGCATCCTGTCCCCCTAGAGTCTGGGGGACAATGAGAAGAAATGCACTGGGCAGTACTGGAGAGCTGGGAAGCCTGCCCACTGTGGGCAGAGCCCCGGCTCAGCACTGGAACTGACGGCCTCCATCTCAGTGGGGCAAGATAAAGCACTTCCCTTCTGAGCAACTTCCCTTCTGAGGGAAGAGGAGGAAAAACTGTATGGGATAGGATTCCCAGGCTTCTGCTTTAGCCCCCCGAATGCTGGGGGAAGGGAACAGCTCAAGAGAGGGAAGGGAGAACCAGGTGGGAGTCTATATGGCACTTGACCACGAACGAGGCAGGAAACTGCAGTTGCCAAGGAACCTGCAGGGGGCGCTCACTACCAATGCCCGTGAGTGTCCTTGCTCAGCCTGTGGCAGAGACCTTGCTGGGAGAAGGAAATGCAAGTAGAGGGCAGAGGACGCAGGCAGCTGGCCTTCTTACGGAGCCTGGGGCACACTCCAGACGCCGTGTTTTGTGAGAGGTGCATACCTGAAGTCCACACCCGTTAACCCCACACTCCAAAGAGTGGTGCCCGTGAGCAGCTGGAAACCAGCCCTCAGACGCGGTGGCGGAGGCGCCTTCACAAACTCTGAACACTGGGAGATTTATTTCCAACTGCAAAACAACAACTGAGCAACAACAAAAGATTGACAGCTGGTTGGTACCAGCCCCAGCTGCCCGGAACTAGGCACGGCTGGTGTGTCTGTGTTCTTCCACCTCCTCCATCTTACTCCTGGAGGTCTAACTGCTCTTCATCAAAGTTCGCGTTTCCTGGGAAGAAAAGAAAACACGCGAGAAACATAAAAGTTAGTGGTTTAAAAAACGATTACAGCTATTTAAGCATTTAGCTCTGTTTTCTGCAGGCATCCGGGTCCCTGGGCTAAGGACTCCGGGACAAGCTCCCGAGCTAAGGCTCCTGTTCCCGCTCAGGGACCAGACATCATCCACTGAGCCCAGTCTCCCTGGACCTGGTCCTAAGCATTCCTCATCCCTATCTCCATCCCCTTCTTTCTTTCTCCCACATCGATTTTTGGGCTACTCATCTTCCGCTGGTCCCCCTGGTTCTCGAGCACCCAGCCTGAGGCTTCTGCTTCCCAAAGGCCCCTCAGTCACACACCACAGAGATGAAGATCCAATCCAAAGGCCCACCATGAGAAGTCAAGAAAGAGTGCACTCCCCCAGGCTTCGGGTTGCGTTTCTGTCTGGAGTCTCCTCTCACCCCCATTCTCCCCTTTCTCACCGCCTCTCAGCCTTTCCACTCATCTGGGGCTGACCCTTCCTAGAAATAGTTCCTGCTCTTGTTCCCGGTGAGTTCTCACCTCTCTGGGGGACGTGGTGATGGTCCCTAACACTCTAGAGTGAAATTGTGGACATGGGCGCCTCTGGATGAGATCCCTGCCCCTCTACCCCACACTGAGTGTGCCAGAGACCCAGAGCTGTATACAAATGTGCAGGTGTGCCAGGCGGCGGTGGTGACACATGCCTTTAATCCCAGACCTGGGGGGGAGGAGGGGCAGAGCCAGGCAGATCTCTGTGAGTTCGAGGCCAGCCTGGTCTCCAGAGTGAGTTCCAGGAAAGGCGCAAAGCTACACAGAGAAACCCTATCTCGAAAAACCAAAAAAAATAAAGGGGGGGACCAGTCACACCAGGCCAGTTCCCGCCGTGGACAGGCTCAACTGGGAGACAAGCTGGACTTTGGGGGGACTTATGCTCGTCTCCCCAGGCTCACTCAGGTCCTTCACCCTGGCCTGAGGCTAGCTCGGTGGGGGAAGGAGAAGCCTGCTCCTCCTGGGGTGTGTGGCTGGCCTCACACAGGTGCTGTCCACTCCACAGGGCACGTATTCTTACCCTGGTCCATGTCGTAACTGTTCTCTCGGCTCTCCTGCCTGAGGGCATCGATGTCGTCCTCTCCGGTCCTCTCCATCTCACCCTCAAAACCTTCTGCCAGAGCCTGGGCTTCTTCTGAGGTGTCACCCATACCTGGGATGAGGACAATGATGGATGACAGAAGGAGGTCACCAGGGAGCATGAGTGCAGATATGTGTGTGTCAAGTGGGTCTCCTGCTCCTGACACCAGGGCCTCCTTTCCCAGCCTCCAAGCTCGAGCCCAGGCCTGGCCATCAGATCACCCTGCCCCATCTCCCAACTCTCTCCACAAGACCACTGTAAAACGTATACAGAGAGATGCTGCCTCGATCCTTCTTCCAACAGGGACATGTGACCCATTTGCTATTGGCTACCCAACCCAAGTCACGGCCACAGAGAGGCATTGCCAAGTAAACTCTGGCTACTGGGGAATCCCCCAAGGTGGCTAAGCCTACATCATAGCTGGGCATTTCTTCCATCCAGCTGATCTGCATTCTTCCCCTCTACTCCCTGGGAGACTCCCATCCCAAACATGTGTACTTATAGCATCCTGCACCCAAACTGACCCAGAGGCCACCTCCCAGAGAGATCAGCAACACCAGATCTGAGGACAGGTGTGCATGTCCCTAACAACCCTGGGGCGCTTGCTCTGACAACCCCCGGGAGCTTGACCTGACAACTCAGGGGTGCCTGCCCTGACAACCCGGGGGTACCTGCCCTGACGATCCCAGGGCCCCTGACTTGACAATCCCAGGGTGCTTGCCCTGACAACCCTGGGGTGTTCCATACCAGCAGCTCCGGGTGTTTCCTCCTGGCCTGGTCCCTCAGCAGGAGGCTGCTCCTCGGAGAGGGTTGGCGTCCACAGGGCCAATTCTGTGATTTTGAGAGCTTTCCACTTTGGAACAATATTCACTAATGTCTCTTCCTCCTCCTCTTCTTCTCCTCTTTCCTATTTTAAGTGCAAAAATACAAAGTCATCGACATGGCTATTATTTGGTCTGGAACATTAAAAGACCACAGGGCAAAGATGGGCTCTGAACTGGGATTGAGACTTCGGGCGACACCATTCCTGACCGGAACAAGTGTGACTTACTGGTGGCATCATCTAAGGGCTGAAGACAGATCTAGCATGATCCAGACAAGTCAGGAAGCCACAGAGCACAGCCAAGACACTGTGAGAGGCTCTCAGGCTCGGCATGTCCCTCAGCAACTGAGGATAACCGACGAGACACGCTTTTCAAGCCTTGCTCCACTCTCCGGTCCTGAGCAACATCCACTGAGGTCAAGTCCTAAAGCCCAAGATGTCCCCATGATGGCAGGAAAATGCACAAACACAAGGGCTCTCCTGGCATGGGTCCAGAGATCAAATTCAACAAAAGAGAACTGGGAGGTCAACACTCGCAATTCCTACAGGGAACTGGAACCAGCATGCATCGGTTTTTTTCAAATGTATCTGTCGATGCCTCAATTCTGCAGCTTTTTAAACGCTCCAGAGATCAGAACATCAACCTCAAGAGTCCGCAAAACCTCCTGGAGACAGGTGGGAACATCTGCTCATTCACTCAGAAATGAATTTTTCCACTCACGAGGAAGACACAAGTGTTCCAGGCCAGTGGTGCCCAGGCCTGGCCTGCTCGGAGTCACCCAGAAGGCTCTCTCATACACACATGCTGGCCCCACCCACGATGTTTTTAACTCAGCCTGTCAGGATTGGAGCCTAATAATTTGCATAGGTTACCAAGTGCCCCTGAGGCTGCTGAGCCAGGGACCAAACTCTGAGAACATCCCCAAAGAACACACCTGTGCTCTAGCAATAGGTGAACCTTCCACAAGTGGCAGATGTCCCTTCCAGCCAGCAGTCCGCAACTGATGCCTCATCACTTGACACCCCTCACACACACTGTCCCTAAGTGTCCACATCAGGAGCACACACACACACACACACACACACACACACACACACACACACCCCTCACACACACTGTCTCTGAATGCCTAAGAATGATGACATTGATGCCAGCCAGAGAAAGTTAACCTGGTATTAATTTCTGTGCTAAACATAGCAAAGGGACTTACTAACCAGGCTTTAAAAGACGGTCAACCATGAGCCGAGAACAGACACCTGACATTGTTGCTGACGGTTATAGCATTCAGATGCCATTCTGGGACTGACACCTGCCGGAACTCAAGGTTAGCCAGTTCCTAGCCACAAAATCTAGCTCTGACTCCTGCAGGCATTGTGAAATGACATCGATCACTTCGGCAGCTGAGCTGCCTAGGAGCGTGCTCACAGACAGTCCCCTTTTACCTCTCGGGGTCAATGTCACTGGGCTGATATTTAAATATCAGCCCAATGACATTGGAAACAGAGTCAATCGTATTCTTCAACTTACCACGTCTGTTAGGCGATATTCACCATGCTGTTCACATCCAATGTCAAAGACGTACTTCCCAGGACCAACAGGCTGTAGGGAGAAAGGAACTCAGTGCGCTTTACGCTTCATGGTCAATGTCGAATAGAAAGTACAAAACGCTCCCTAAGTGCCATGCCCAGAAAGCTCACCCCGAACGACCTCACCGTGCAGAGTCTGAGAAGGAGTTACAGAATGCTTCCGTTAACTGACAGCTGGTGGAACTGTTCAAGGGTTTGTTTCTGAAGGTCTCTGCCATGTTTTTACTGCATTGAAAAGGAGTAAGGAATCTACCCACTGTAGAACCTGGAATGAATCGGTGCCTATGGGCAGACTGGCTAGAGAGGGGCTGCCCGCCAGCGCTTTGATGCTTGCTGTAGCACTGGATTTAGTGCAAAGCACTTTTAAATAATTTGTTTACTCATGGATGGGGGTGGGGTGCACATGGTGTCACAGTTCATGTGTGACAGTCAGAGAGCCATTTGTGGGAGTCGGTTCTCTCCTTCCACCGTGTGGGACCTGGGTAGCGAACTCAAGTCGTCAGACTTGATGACAGGCACCTTTACCCACTGATCCATCTCACCAGCGCCCCAGGAGATTTTTTTTTTTTCAACAAAAACCTGGTCACGATGACACACACTGTCGCCACTTTGACTTAGAAACTGAGTGTGAGCCACTCCCCAGCTTTACAAATGTTTTCCCACATCACCAGTTGCCAACCTGACATTTGCATTCACCTTGGACCACGAATTATAATGTGCCTTGTTTACCGATGCTCGGCGTTGCCATGCCAACACTGTTCTTTGTCCAAGCATTAGCTCGAACATGCTGTTTTGTTGTGTTTTGACCCTGTGTCTCACTCCATAGCTCAAGCTGCCTCACAATCTCTTTACTGTAGACATACACCGACTGCCACCCTGGGCTTTCAATTTTCTAGTCATTATGTTCCTTTAGGAAACTAAATCCATTTTTCCTTTGTGAGTCTGTTTAAGGACTCTTCCCTAGTTTCTGCATTCATAGACGTCACCTCTTTTGATTAGTTTCGTTCATGGCGACATTTAAATATTTCTTCCAGAAAACCCCTTTCTCTCTTTGCTGAAGGACGGACTTTTATAAAGTTATAGAGCAACTAGACTTTTAAAAATACAACCAGTAGTGGTTCCCTCGGTCACTGTTGACAGTAGCATCCGTCTCCTCCCCAGACTTGGCCAGGTGATGTGATTTGGGCAGGCGTATCTAGTTATCTAGTTCCTCGGCCCATTATTGCCCCTCATGTCTTCATTAGCTGCCAGCCATGTCCTGACCGAGTGTTCAATGACTTCATCTCCTTCTAGTCTGCCTCCCGTCTCCATCCCTCCTCATCTCCATCCCTCCTCACTCTGCTTTAACGACTTGTCAGCAAGGGCAGGGATGGGGGAGTTTCTGAGAAAGAAACACAACCAAGTGCTGAGAGGGTGAAAGATGCCTGACCCTGCTTGTAACCAGGGAAACACACAATTTAAAAAAAAAAAAATGTTTGCACATCAGATTGGGGGAGGGAAAAAGCAAAGGATGTAGCGGATAAATCCAGTGTGCTGAGAACCTGTGATGGGCAGTCAGGTTCTGTTAGTGAGGGGATAAAGTCGTGCAGCTTTTCAAGACAACGGACAGTGTTTGTGGTGTTTCAAAATATCAGCTCTTTACATTCAGCAGTCCTGGTATCTGGCTGTCAACTGTGAAGGAGGAACCTCCAGTATAGAAGTGCCTCCATTAGATTGGCCTGCGGGGCATGTCTGTGGGGCACTTTTTTAAATGTTCATTGATGTAAGAGGGCCCAGTCCACTGTGGACAGCACCATGCCCAGGCAGGTCAGCCGGAGCTGTATAAGAAAGGTAGCAGGAGTTGGGGATTTAGCTCAATGGTAGAGTGCTTGCCTAGCAAGCACAAGGTCCTGGGTTCGATCCTCAGCTCCAAATTAAAAAAAAAAAAAAAAGGAAAAAGAAAGGTAGCAAACATGGCCTGAGACCAAGGCTGTAGCAGTGTTCCTCTGCTGTCTCTGGGTCAAGCTGGAGTCCCCACCCTCCTTCAATTCCTGTCCTGATTTCCCTCAATGATGGACCTGTGCGAGGAAACAAACCCTTCCTGGGTTGCATTTGGTCATGCTGTTTATCACACAGAAAGAACTCTAGTCTATGTACATGCATTTCTCCAAAGACAGAATGACAACCAACTTCAGTCTACTGGCTTTCATTCCAGGGTCAGGCACCGCCCCTGTCTATAAGGTGAAACATGTGCTCAGGTTAGGTGAGTGGAGGAAGTTAACCGGGGAGCTAATAAAAGCAGAAACACGGGACCAAATGTAGATTAGGCTGGTTCCAAGTTCCTTTCCCTTTAAGGGTCCGAGCAGAGGGGATGCCCTCACTCTGTACCTGGAAAACCTGCTAGGGATTTGGCGTCTGGAGTCAGATGGCTTGCTTGTGTTATAGAACAGAAAGGCAGTGGGAGGACCATTGGGTATGGCCTGCTGAGCCAGGGCAGGAGCTCTGTCTAGACCCGGAGGCCTCCTCTGCATTTTATCCCACATGCCCAGATATGCAAGACGACAGCAGGTGTGCCTCTGTGTCCTGGTACCTGACTCTCAAAACCGATTCTGCAAAAGCTGATGTGTAAGTGTGTGTGTGCATGTGGCATACAGAAGTTCTGAGGAAGGGGAACAAGGAAAGGGCAACCCAGGGGTGGGGGGGTATGCTAGCACACGACACTTTACAGTTTGGGCATCCTTCTGTGGTTCGTATAACTGTAAGCTTTTTACTGACTGACAGAGCAAAGCCTCCAGGTTTCCTCTCCCTTTTCAGACTGTCTAGTCTCGCTTATCGATTTCCCCAACAGCTGAGGCTCAAGTTACATGTAAATGAACCAGGGCATGTGGAGAGTCTGAAGGGGGAGTGATGAATGTAGCTAGCCATACCCCCTGTCAACTTCCCCTTCAGTGAGCTCAGCAAACTCTCTCTGGGGAGTCTCCCTCCAGCCCTGAGCAGCGGTGGCGTTCTCCCAGGAAAGCCTGGGTAGAAAGCTCACAGTTACTCTGGGCCCTTAAAGCCCTCCCAACCAGGAGTGGCAGGCTGGCCTCTGGCATGGGGGGAGGGGGGCAGCTCTGGGATCGCCCTCCCATTCGACCATGGTTTACCAGAGGGCAAGAGCGCACACAGCCAGCAGAAGATGCCCTGGTACCGAGGGCACTGGCCTTAATAGAGATACAGTGTGCCACTGGGGCCCAGGGAAACAGGCCCGGCTTCCTGCCTCCACCCCACCCCACTCTGTACTCTGTGGGCATCCGAAGAGCTTGGAGTGGTGCAGCCGCCCTCAGCTGGTGGTAATGGAACTCTGAGTGTTTAGCGTTAGCACACGGCACGCTGACTTACGTTTTTGTTCAGGAACTTGCCCTGGTACCTGTGGTTCAGGTGGATGAGCTCGGCAGCACCCTCCTGTTGCCCGTTCACCCAGCTGCCGACGTACTTGCTGCCTGTCTCTGCATAGAAGTAGGTGCCTTGCCCATGCCTGGTGAAGACAAGACAAGAGCATCTGGTTACTGTCCGCTATGGGAGCACCGACCCTAAGACAGAGGGGGATGTAAGCAGATGCCAGCTTATAGGCAACTGGTTTCCAGTATCTGTGTCCACTTGCAGACTTGGCATGCCACCCACACAGGGTACATGGAGCCAGCATCATCTAATGCCACAGAGGCCAGCGGCTTGCCCATGAACCAATTTCCCGGGGCAGAGTCAGGGTTTCCCTGGGGCTGTGGGTGGAGGATCCATGTGTCCTGGCCCACTATGAGGAGACAGTAGTCCCTCCTCGGCCGCTCTCAGCAGCACCTCCCCTACACACCTGCCCTCCGGCATGGGACTGCCTTCAGTGGGTGTTATCCTGTTCTTATCCCGCAAATGGACCCCCAAGACGACAGGTAGAAGCCAAACCTTTGATGAGCGAACCACTCCCCTGTGTAGGTGTCGTTATTGACGTAGTAGTACACGCCGTGGCCATGCCTCTGGTCATCTGCCCACTCCCCTGCAAAGGACAACACACACACACACACACACACACACACACACACACACACACACACAAAGTCAGATGAAAAGATCAGACTGATGCTCTATGGCCCCTGCTCGCCCAGGAGGATCCAAGCAATGTGTTCTGCAAAAGAGAGAGCTTTGTAACCACAGAGCTAAGCCTGATGCCCGTCTCCTCTCTGACTTCCCTCCACCCACCTTCTCTTCCCCTTGGGCCAGCTTCTGGGAGAGCTAGCTAAGGAGGGCCGAGTTGGGAGCCCAGGGACACAGATCTAGAGGGTGTGTGCCTGTGAGGTGAGCCCCAGACACTTTCACGCTTTTGCAGGTTGGTGGGCTTGAGGGGTCAGGGTTGAGACAAGCCTGTCTGACCCTTTGCCACCCATCCCAGTTATACCCCACATGCCTTGCAGGTACGCGGCAACTCAGCAGCATCTCCAAGGCTTGATGATGGTCTAGCCTCAGCACTCACTCCATCTCCCAGCTGGGTACCTGGTTCCAAGGCTGCCCTCTTGCCAAATCCTTCACTCTACCTTTCCTGGCCTGGGGAGCCTGGCCAATCCCCTGCATGTGGGTAGGTCCTGCTAATTTCTCACGCACATGACAGAAAACCCTAACACTGGAAAAACAGCACGGGATTTGGAACACTTGGCTTGGCAGCAAACTGTGTTGCCAGCCAAAGGGGATTTGAAATCAGTCTCTCAAAAACTCTTCAACTCGGGCCGGGCGGTGGTGGCACACGCCTTTAATCCCAGCACTCGGGAGGCAGAGCCAGGAGGATCTCTGTGAGTTCGAGGCCAGCCTGGGCTACCAAGTGAGTCCCAGGAAAGGCGCAAAGCTACACAGAGAAACCCTGTCTCGAAAATTCAAAAAAAACCTCTTCAACTCGTAAAGGAAACCAACCAGCGGATTCCCAAGGTGGACATTACCGATCACATATGACCAACAGCAAATCAGCACCCGGGTAGAACTTTATAGACTACTACCGGGATGGAACTTTCCAGAATGGAACAAGTAATTAAGAACTAATCGAGATCAGTTTGTTTCAAGAGAAAAAAGGATAATTTCGTCTTCTATGCTCTCTACAGAAAACTAGGCAAACTGTTTTCTTGTAGGAAGACTACTGGCTAGCACCGGCGGAAGACACCTGCCTTGCACGTGGGAGGCCCTGGATTCGATCCCAGTGCAAAAGAAAAACCAAAACGGGTGAGGGAGAGCTACTCTAGAATTCTACGAGGATGTCTGCCATTAATTAAAAATACACCCCAGGATGCGTTCTTAAATTCTGTGTTGTTTATGGCACTTGCATTTTTAATTTAAAAATGTTCAGTTTATTTCAATTTCCCATTACAAATGAAAATTCATTCTTATAGCAACTCTATATCCTCTTCCTTAAAGAGAACCCTAGAATGTGTGTAAACTTCTGGCTTACACAAACACTAGAGACATTTCCACATACATGAAGGGAACATATACTATGCTAACAAAATGTTGACTATCCAAACTATCTATTTCCACAAACAAACCCCAAAGTGTATCCAAAACTAGGAATTCTATAGAATTTGCCTCTCTTCTCCAATATTTACTCACAACACATCCTGGCTGCCTTGTGAACTATAACATCTGCAGAAATGGATAGCACAGGACCCCCACAGGTTTACACCAGATGAAGGCAGAGGCCAGAAAGGATGGGATCGGCAGCCTGGGGCAGAGGCAAGAACAGGACCTCAAAGGTGAACGACAGCTCAGCACAGAGCGCCTCACCAAACAGACACAGAGAGATGGGAATGGAGATAGCTACGGGTTCAGAAAGAGGACTGGGTCCCACAAGAAGATGCGAAACAGGGACCCGAGCAAGAGAGATGGAGAATCCCAAAATTAAGATCATTCACTAAAATATGCATTTGGTGCCAGGTCTGTAGTAATCGTGGGACAGTGCACACCACGAGCAAAGATCTGGGGGTTGTCCTGGACCTTCAGAGCAGCATCGTATCTGCGTCTGCAGCATCCGCCAGTGTCAGCGGTGGAATATTCCCACTGAGGCCAATTTGGAGCTGTTTATGGAGCTGCAAGAAGTGCAAAATTGGCTTCCCTGAGCTGCTCAGAGCTGCTCTAGCACACCCTGGGGCAAAGCGGCCACAGCTGGCACAGTTACTTCAGATGGTTTCCTTCCCCCAAAAAAGATCATAACAAAAGGAACCCATCTCTCTTCTCTCGCCCTTGGGAGCCGGGCTCCAGGCTGGCGTGACAAGAAAAACGTGGTGTTATTTTGCAGAAACTTTCCAGACGCGAAAGAGGACAGTTAAACTGCAAACACGCTAGATTTCATGTTGGTGAGGAACCATGAGCACAGGCTACACCACCTGAGAAACTTGTGGGAGGCGGAGCCTCAGCCTCCCTGTGCAATGGAGCAGGGTTGCTCAAAGGAAGGGGGGGAGCCTGCACCCGCTGCAGGCTTCAGTGGCCAGGAATCAAGGCTCCTGGATGGCATTTAGAAACACATTATTCCTGCCTTCAATTTACATTTAACCTTTTTTTTAAAGATTTATTTATTTATTTTGTATACAGCATGACTACAGGTCAGAAGAAGGCACCAGATCTCATTACAGATGGTTGTGAGCCACCATGTGGTTGCTGGGAATTGAACTCAAGACCTCTGGAAGACCAGCCAGTGCTCTTAACCTCTGAGCCATCTCTCCAGCCCCACATTTAACCTTTTTTTGCAACTTTTTAAACAATTCTTTCCTACTCCCATCATTCTCTGTCTCCTCACCAGACCTCGAGTATGGGGGAGGGGGGAGGTGCCTGCCAATTAAGCCCTTAAAACCCCTTGAACAGTGAGATTTGATGAGACTTGGGGCTGTGGAAAGTGTATATATGCCAGCATGGCCATGCACACCAACTTCTAAGGAACAGAGGCCCACACTGGACCCTTCTAGAACTCACACTACACACCCACTCATCTGACTAGCCATCAGTATTATTTGTGGTTCCCTTTATAATAAACAATTAACAGTGTTTCTGTGAGTTCTGTGAGCTGTAGAAGAAGATCATCGGCCAGGAGATAGACTTAGGGGACCATCTAGTTAGCAAGGAGCTGGGCAGAAGTGTGAGCAGCCTGGGAGTTTCTAGCATGACCTCTGCATCTGAGTCGGGGGACAGCCTTGTAAGGACGAGCCTTCCCTGAGGCTATGGTAGCTGGCGCCCCCCATTGAACCGACTCCTTGGGAAGCCATTGCCTGCAGAGCCGGGGGATTGCTTGGTGTGGATACCCATGCTTGAGCTCACAGGTCCTGTGCGTAGACTTTTCTCTTCAGCTGGTGCATCTCCACGTAAAGAACTCCTGATGCCTCTTCCCTTCAGTGGGGAGGCGCTGGACCCGCACTTGGGTATGTCTTACCATAGAGCACCTCTTTGTCTCCTAATCTTCATGCCTAAGTCTATACTAAAATATCTTTAATAAAATACCCAACCCTGCTTCAGAGAAAGACTTCCTAAGCCCCTCCCCTTTTTAATGTACTTTATGTGAAACTCAAATTGTATTCACATCTACCCTGAGATCAAAAGTGACAACAAGATTAGGCTCCCAGGGGTCTGGGAGGAATTCAGTTAAGCCCCAAATCGAATCGTCCAAAGCTCGTTACAAAGCAGATGGTGCTTCTGTCGACCAAGCCTGCTAAGGGTTAGGAACAAACCAATTTAAGCTCCACGTCTAAAGCATTCACGCCTCTGCCCCATCTCGGAGTCCGGGAGACGCCCCTTCCTTTGCTGTCTGTTAGTTTTAGTTTTATCTGGAAGCGGGGCGGGTAACTGCCATGGTCTGGATAGGTGTCCCCCAAAGGCCATGTGTAGAGGCTTGGTCCCCAACTACTGTGCTGTTGGGAGCTGTGGAACCCTGGGGAGATAGAATCTAGTGAAAGAAGCCAGGTCACTGGGGACATGCCCATCCCTCCTCCCTCTGTGTCCTGGCCACCATGAGGTGAGCAGCTGGGTTTAAGGAAGACTCCCACCATGATGTTCTCTGCCTTGCCACAGGCTCACATGTCTACGGACTAAAATCGGGGGCTGGAGAGATGGTTCAGTGGTTAAGGGCACTTGCTGCTCTCGCAGAGGACCCAATTCAGTTTCCGGCACCCACATGGTGGTTCACAAACATATATAACTCCAGAGCCCGGGGCTCCAATGCCCTCTTCTGGCCTCTGTGGACAACGTATTCTGGGCTATGTGCAGGTAAAATACCCATGCGTATAGAACGCCCACGCACATAAAATAAAAATAACCCAATCTTAAAATCTCTAAAAGTCAAAATAAGCCTTCCTTTCCTGAAGATGAATATCTCAGATGTTTGTTAGCTCGAATTTTAAGGATATGTCACCCTCATTAGAAAGTGATGTTGTCACGCATAGTGCATCATGGTCCTTGCCAACAAGCTCTTCCCTCAAGGCAGGAATCTCTATAGGCATTACACACATATCAATCTACCCCATCTGCATGCTACAGATAAGAAAGCTGAGACAGAGAGGTGACATGCAGAGTCACAACTAAGGTCCCCACAGTCACAGATCTTTTTGGAAATCGGATGGAAACTAGAAAACCCATTCTGGGGACAGGAGAAACAGAGAGTAGAGGAAAACCCGAACATACCGATCAGCATACCCCTTCTGAAGGTCCACAGCCTACTTCCTGCCTTCTCCCGTCCTGGCTCTGGGATTAGACTTGTACCCACCAGGTGACAGTGGTACATAGGGACCGGCACTTCTTAGAAATAAGCTAAGAGTCTTCCCGGAGCATGACATTAGCATGTGAGGAATGGGAGACTGGGAAAGACATCACAGCAAGGCAAAATGCCTGGATAAAGGGACTCCACGGTCTAAAGAAACATGGCCATCAGAAGAGGGACTGGGCAAAAACAGAAAACAACAAAGACAGCTTCAGAGGAACGATGCCAGAGGCTGCCGAGGGTCCAGGCCACACCTAGATTCTGTGCCCACCCAGCAGCCCCCTTTCCCTTACTCTAAGTCTCGGCTTACAGGAGGGCATGTTTAGTTACTTAAAAGACTTCTGGCCTCGATGACAATGGAGGAAGGAACACATTTTGTTGTTGTTGTTGTTTTTGAGTGGTAGATCTAGTGAACGTTAAGCTCTCATATACACTTTAGCATCTGCAGACGAGCTCAATGTCAGAAACAACCTATACAGCAAAAACAAAAATCTTCTCCATGGTGATGGCATGTTACCTTCATATCTGGATCCATCTGGGTAGATAAAGGTGCCTTGACCGTGTTTTTTATTTTTAATATATTCTCCGATGTATCGGGCACCATTCTTAAATTTGTAGATCCCCTGAAACACACCGATGACACAGTTCTTAGCAGTCCTGAGTCCGGCATGCACCAAGACAATATTTAACAGAGAAAACCAGCTTCCTAAGCCCCCAGTTCTGACCTGGCCATTTCTTTTTCCAAACTCATAGTGTCCTTCGTACGTGTCTCCGTTGGGCAATCTCGCTTTCCCGTGTCCGTGCCGTTCTCCCACTTCGTTTCGCTCCCCCTCGTATTCCTGGCCAAAAGAAACCAAGCCAGCTGTGGCTGCTGTTCAACAGCACGAGCCAAGCATTCTACAGCTATGGTACCACCGAAGCATCCCAACCTTGGGCAAGGTATTCACCTCTCACATTGCCCTGGTGAGGCAGGTAACTGTAGTGGGTAGCCATTCCAGCTTTGACCCGGAAGTTCCAACCCCCACTGAGGCCTCAGTAATGGTCACGCCTACAAGGCGGGGCTGAGAGAACATGCTGACCACGGGAGATCCTGGACCCTGGACGCTGGAGCTAGACCGAGCAGAAGTGTTCCAAAGAACACCGCTGGACTGCACTACCCCTTCCCCAGACCCTGTAAACTATCCCTTCACTCGTAAGTTACCCCACAAAATAAACCTCCCTTTTAACTACGTGGAGTGGCCTTAATAATTTCACCAATAGGTAACCAAGCCTGATGGGCAGAGCCCCGGTCCAAGGTCTCACGATTAATGCATGTGTCCATGGCGGGAGCTTCTCTCCCTCCCTCCGGCATCTGAGCACGTGGTTTATTATGCTCATCCCGACACTGTGAACATGAACCGATGAAGGGAAGACAGCGCAGTCCCCACAGGCAAACACTTTAGAGAGTTCATGCAGGTGGGACAGGTCCCCAGCCTTCACAGACGCCTCCCTCTTCACTCTTTCCATCATTCAGGACTTAAAATGCAAATACCCTAAGAGAAGGGCTCTTCTGTCATGGGTTTGCTGGAGAGTCTGTGGTCTGCCAGAGGTCTGTGTCCTGCTGGGAAGTTCTGCTGTGAGGAAGAGGGGAAGGAGACACGGAGATTCCACTAATCTTATTGTCAAACTCCCTATCAAAGAACTTACAGTCCAAACACTTTCGGCCCTGAGACTGGAGAGATGGCTCAGGGGTTAAGAGCACTGGCTGCTCTTGCAGAGGACCTGGGTTCAGTTAACAGCACCCACATGGTGGCTCACAATCATCTGTAACTCTAGTTCCAGAGGATTCAATGCCCTCTCCTGGCCTCCTCAGGCACTGCATGCCATGTGATAGACAAGCAGAAAAAACACCCATACACACAAAATAAATTAATCTTTAAAAAAAAAAGTAAAGAAAATAAATCAATTCTAACCCAATCTGGAAAAGCTATGAATCTGTCTTGTAAGTAGATTGGACTGGGGTGGAGCTCAGTGTGAGTGGGGCTGCCTAGCATGTACAAGACCCTGGGTTTCACCCCTTACACACACACACACACACACACACACACACACACACACACACAAAGATGTTTGCGAGCAGTACCACTTGTGTTTTGTTTTGTTCTTTTGTGTGTGTGTGGTTTTTTGAGACAGGGTTTCTCTGTGTAGTTTTGGTGCCTGTCCTGGAACCTGCTCTGTAGACCAGGCTGGCCTTGAACTCACAGAGATCCACCTGCCTCTGCCTCCCAAGTGCTGGGATTAAAGGCGTGCGCCACCATTGCCCGGCTCAAGCAGTACCACTTGTAAGGGCTGAGGCAGAAGGATGGCAGGATTGCTTGAGCCATGAGTTGGAGGCCAAACCTAGCCACATAGCAGACCCCTGCCCCAACTCCAAAAACAAGTAAATAAAAAAAAGTAATGCAAGCTTGCAATTCTCCTGCTTTTCCTATACTTTCTGAAAAAAAAAAGTGTTCTCTGGCTCATATACATGGATGTACGGTGCATATAATACCTAATATAATGGCCAGAGCATTCCATAATGGTGCAACATGGCTAGCTTAAAATATCACGCTACATACTTTAGACATACACAATTAACATATTCATTTAGACATTTTAAAACATGATCTGTGAACTTGGATCTGTGTCTATTTACAGGTACAGGACATCAAGTGGAAGGCTTTAGAAACAAACAGGCAGGCATTTCTTGCCTTCTTCTAGCCCCTTTTAGCCCAGAAATTCCTGCCTAGAATATAAGCCTATGACCTTACAGATTGTTTTCAGGGTTGTTTCAAACCACAATGTGGTGGTTTGAGTGAGCATGTCCCCATAAGCTCAGACATCTGAACACTGATTCCCTACTTGGTGGCTCTATTTGGGGAGGTAGTGGAACCTTTGGGAGGTAGAGCCTTGCTGGAGGGAGTATGTCACTAGGGACGGACTTTTGGGTGTTTATAGTCTCACCCCACTTCCTGCTTGCAGTCTGTGCTCCCATTTGAAGATGCGCACTCTCAGCTTCCTGTTTCTGCTACCATGTCTCCCTTCCCCTCCCCCCATACCTGCTGTTTATCTATATGCCTTCCCCACCATGATGAACTTTTATCCTTTTGGAACTGTAAGTCTAAATAAACTCTTCCTTCCATGAGTCACGGTGTTTTATCACAGCAACAGAAAAGTAACTAATACACACATGTGCAGAGTCCCTGGTCCGATCCTAGAGGCCTCCCAGTATGGCCAACACTGAGCCATATGGGTGGATCCCTGCTCCCATCTCAGGGACCTCCCAGCCTGCCCAACACTGACTGAGCTGTGGGGGCGACTGAGCAGAGAAATCCTTTCAGCTAATCCATGGGTGGTCTGCCTTCATACCTACAGGCTTAAACATGTTACAAATCAGGTGGAGAACAAACTAGAAACTTGGATGGACAGGAATGTAAATTGAATATGAGCAGAAGCAGACCATAAATTAGTGACCTCTGTGTGTGTGTGTGTATGTTTGTGTGTGTGTGTGTGTGTGTGTGTGTGTGTGTGTGTGTGTGTGTATGTGCATGTCCATGCCCATCTGTAGGAGCCAGAGACAGACAGGCAGTGTCTTCCTCAATCCTCTCCACTTGATATTTTGACACAGATTTCGTCACAGAAGCTGGAGCCCTCCTATGGCAGCGAAGCCGGCCAGCCCGTGAGCTCCTAGGATCTTTCTGTGCCCAGCTTTTTGCATGGTAGCAGAATCTAAACTCAGGTCCTCACAGACTGAACCATCGCCCTGGGAACGTTTAGATGTAGAACCCCGAGAAACCAGTGAGAAGGTCCGCCAGATTATTAAAAAGGAGGCAGCTAAGCCAGGACGTACTTTGCAATTTCAGATGAAATACCAGTCTCTGACTAATTGCATGGAGACTGTGAAGCCTAGATTTCACACGGAGTCTGCCCTGCCTTTGGCACTAGCTCCTTGCTGTTGGGAGCACGTGACTCCTAGGCATTTCTGCCTCTTCACACTGACCAGGCCTGCTCCAGGGCATAGATCAAGCAGAAGCTGAGAGGTGATGGCCAGGAACCAGCAAAAAGGCCTGAGCAGGTGCCAACCCCGCGTTACAGAGGAGGGGCCCGGGTTTTTGCTTTATCCTCAAACTCTCTTTGCTCACACATAGCAAGCCTGTTCCCTCTTTGTCAGTCAGGGAGTGGTCACCCTCTTGTTTAAGGAGTAACCGCCGACCCACAAGGCACTGAAGTCAGAGCACATCGCTGCCTGGGAGTCTTTTGCCTCTCCTCTAATGTCTACACTTAGGAAAGTGATTCCCGTGGCTTGGGACAGTTCAGAGAAACTGATCCAGACCTACGTGGTGAACTCTTGAGAGCCCGGGGCACCTCAGCACGGTGCATTGAGTTGCCAGGAAGCAGCTTTCTCCATCCTTTTTCTCATGCCCTCGGCCTAGAAATCTTCGCCTTTAATGGGAGGCGGGATGGGAGCGGGGAGGGGGGGTGGAAACAAGACGTCACGGCGTTTCACCTTTCAGAGCGACTTCCTGGACGCACCGCCGCCCGTGTGGCCGGCGTGGTCCTGTCCGCGGCCTCTCGGCCCGCTGGTCCCCACGCCTCCCGCTCCGGAGCTGCGGCGCACCCCAGAAGTCCCTCCCTGGCCAGGAGCTCTCACCCCAAGATCGTTCTCTCCTTCCTCCTCTAACTCCTCGGAGCCCAGGTCCGACATGATCTGGTCTCAGCTAGGATCTCCGGAGTAGCGTCTCTACCAAGCAGGTACCAGCCACCCCCACCCGCGTCTCGCGTCGCCATGGAGACGCTGCCCGGCCCGCTTGGCTCTCAGCCTAAAAGGGTGGCGGGAAAGGGCGGGACGAACGGTGTGGGAGGAGTCAAGGGCTGGGATAGTGTTCTGGCAACTGGAAGGGCATCTCTGCCAATCGCCGCCCGGGAAGAGGGAGGAGCGGGGGCAGGAGGGTGGTGGTGGGGGGTGGCTTGGCGACTTGGTACTCGCACAGATCTGACAGTCTAACCTGAACAGTGTCACTGGCCTCTGGAATGTCCCCTGTGATCTGATTTATGGACGCCACTAGGAGCCACCTAAAAAGCTGACCCCCAGAAGGACGAGAGGCGCGTCTCAACTCTGGGCCCCGCCTCTTGGTCCCTTGGGTCCTCCGGGGGATGCTGCAGGACCCTTCCAGATTCTTCTGCACTGAGATGTTTGTGGTCTCCAGAGGCGTGTACACACACGCGGGTCTTTTCTGTTTTCTGTCAACACGTCCACTCTGGAACAACGAACTCCAGTCTCTTAAGCAGATGCTCTTGCACACTGACCCGGGTCAGGGTTTAAGCATCTCAACCAGCCCCTTACTCAAGTGACTTGGGCTCTCACTTGCCGGTGACCCATATTCATTCTGCTCTGTCCTCTGGTGCCTCCTCTGGTGCCTCTGGCTTCCTCTCAAATGCCCAACCTGTCATGCCACACGTACAGGCCCACTCATTCACAGGGGCTCTCCTTTGCTGCTTCTCGGGGTGGGGAGGGGGCGCTCCAGTGCCATATTCCACCCTGCGAAGCCCCTCTGGACCCCCTTCCCACCCCTATGCTGTCGTCTGAGGCTCAGACCTTCCAACTCCCCCACTAAGCCAAGACTTTCTGCCCTAGTGTCTGGCCTCCTAACATCCCCACAGCGCCCTCTGTTCAGAAACCCAAATGCACACAGGCTCCCTGTGTGTCCCCAAGCTCCCCTTCCTACACTAGCTTTCCGGCAAACAAATCAAACTACCCAATCCTCCGGTGCCCTGCTTCTGGTTTCCACCTGGGTCAGCCCAGCTGACTCCCTGGAAGACTTGCTTGCCCACATTGGGAAACACACCAGCACACCTTTCTTCCAAGACTGGCTGAGGGGCTGTCTCCCCAGTCAGCTTCGGGTACAGGATAAAGATATTCTGGAGGAAGGAGAGGGGACTGGAGATTGGGGAAAGGGCCTCAGCTCTATCGCCCATCCCTAGCAACGGCAAGCGTGTGATAAAATGTGAAACTTAACTTGAGGGCAGTTCTTCATATTTACCTGACAAGTCAAAGTGCTAATATGCAGCGTACTGATTGACACACAAAGGCACTGGGTGCCGATCTCTACAGTCACGGCCTACACACACCTGCTGTAGTCACCAGTGTGTGTGACGCTTAGAATCTGCTCTTGACGCTTCACGTGACAGTTCCTTGTCATTGTGATGACTAACTCCGGTTGCCATGCTGACACACCTGGGGAGAAGGAATCTCAATTGAGGAATTGTGTCTTGGCCCGTGGGTATGTCTGTGGGGGTATTTTCTTACTTGCTAATTGGTGGAGCAGGGTCCAGCCCACTGTGGGTGGCACCATCTCTAGGCAGGTGGGCCTGGGTTGTATAAGAAGGTAGCTGAGCAAGCAGGAGGGAACGAACCAGTAAGTGGTGCACCTCCTGGGTCTCAGGTTTGGTCCCTGCTCAGGCTTTCCATAATCGATGATCGATTATGGTCTGCAACCTGTAAGCCAAGTAAGCCACCCCTTCCCCTGAGTGGCTTTGGCCCCTGCTGTTTTGCCACAGCAACAGAAAAGCAAAACACAACATGCACCATGCTGTGTGGTGGGTTTTATACCTGAGCCTTTGATCAGGATCCTTGTAAGTTTGACCTGTTACACCCCACAGTGCTGGGATATCTCCTGCAGAATGCAGGTGTTGTTGATGTATGTCGGTGACTTTTCTGCTACTATGACAAAATATCCAAGGCTGCAGCTTGGCTCACGGTTACAGAGGTTTTAGTCCATGGGTAACTGGCTCTGCCACTTTGAGGCCTCTATCAGCATTACCTGTAGGTGGAGTTTTATGTCCCACCAGTCAGTTCCCAAATAACCACACAGAGACTTAATATTAATTATAAATGCTCAGCCAATAGCTTAGGCTTGTTTTTTTTAGCTAGCACTTGTAACTGAAATGAACCCATTTCTAATTATGTGTTGCCCAGAGGCTCGTTTACCTCATGTATGTACTTCCCATCCTGCTCACTCTGTGTTGCATGGCATCTCCTCAGGCTCCACCCATCTTCTCCCCAGCATTCTCTCTGCCCTGAAAATCCTGCCTAGCCACCCGCCAATCAGCTTTTTATTAACAATGAGAGTGACACATCTTCACAGTGTACAGAAAAATTATTTCACAGCAATTACCAGAACCCTGGTCATGAGGTCTGCCTCCGGGTGTGAACATTTATTTGGATTAAGAACAAAAACATAGAGTATATACAGAGAAATGGGGAAATTAATTCACATTTTTATCCTGAACTGTGGAGAAAGAAATTCTCAATTTCTCTGTATTTGTTCCACAATAATGTTACCATCTATAGAAAAGATAAGGAAATCTGAACGTGTAGATTAGTCTTGGGTCCATGTTACTAGAGCTGAAAGATGAGTCTTTATCTGGAGAGAGTCCCAGCTCTGGCACCAGGACTTCAGAACATGACCTGTCCTCACCTAGCATAGAATGTGCTAGAGAAATTCAAATCCTCATGGCCCTCTCCATTACATCTGCATGTCATGTCATGGTGGGAATGAGTTACAGAGTTTCCGAGTCTGCTGAGGCAAGGGAGCTGGTGTCCATCACCTGCGTTTCAGGAGAGAACAAGGGCAGAGAGAGCAGGATGGCCCCTAGTGGAGAGAAGGAATGGCTTTGGCCTTGGGCTCCTGAAGCAGTGGTTACATAATGGCCAGGGTGCATATCTGGGCCTTCTTGGTTGGTCCTAGTTTAAAATGGGGATAAAAATGAGGAATGTTGCCTGCTATTAATCAGGTCTTGGCCATTTTGGTGGTTACAATGGCTATTGTTTGGCCTCCTGGGTTTTTGGAGAGAGAGAGCAGATGGCATCCCCCAAGCCTGGCTTAGAGACAGCAGCTGATTCGTTGATGTGGATGTTGTCAGTTTTGTTTGTTTTTGAGACAGGGGGACCAAGCTGGCCAAAGCTTGCTCTGTCATTGTCCTTGAACTCCCCATCTTTCTGCTCCCCTCCTCCAAACTCTGATTACCACCCTGTATCACCATGCCTGACTCAGTGTTCTGGTTTGATACACCGTCTGGCCATTGTCCACTTCTATACCCAGCCGCTTATATGGTTTTGCAAATTATAATTTGTATTAGCTCAAGATATTTTACAGCTCTCTTTTTTGCTTTTGGGATGTAATACTTTAAACAATGATAACACAATCATCTTATATCATATAAGTCCTACTAATATAAGTTCATCTAAAAGTTTGATGTAAATGGGAAGAAAGTAGATTGTAAAGCAAGCATCATTTGATGGAGACATTAATGACTGAGGCTACATTAGACTCTGGGCTCCCATTGCTGGCTTTACTTTGAAGCATCCTCAGGAAACACCCCGCCCTCCAGCCTCAGTTTCCCACTCTGTAAACTAGAGATAATAAGCTTGTAGAGGGTGAGAGATGATGCCTGATTAATGTGTTATTTGTTGGAACAGCTAGGTAATGAGAGCAATAAAGACAGACAAAGATTCTCACAGCAGCCGCTGCCCCCTCTCCCTCTAGGGAGCCCACTCACTGTGCGGCAGGGCTGTGGAGCCGAGTGAGCACACCTCTGTCAGCCAACGTGATCACCTGTGTAGAGAATCACCCATAGGCTTTCCAGAGCACATACTACAGACCATTCATCAAACAGGGTCTCCTCCAGAAGGCGAAACTCAGCCAAACCCTCAGGCCTGAACCCTGAATGAATAAACAAGCCGCAAGTAATTAACATACAAGACCCTAAAATTATAGTTCCTTAGTTCCAGAGATGAAAAGATTATAAACACATGTTAGCAGCTTCTCTGGTGAGGAAAAAGTTGGGCGTGGGGAGATTGGGTGAGCAACACTGTGTCTCTATTTGTTGGAGGTTTCCACATTTGTTTCAACTGAGTATGTCATTTCTATAGTGAAAAGTATTTTAAATGTTAGAAGCTGAGAATGGCAATATAATTAAGTATGTGAAAACAAATGTTAGCTTTTTGGACCATAAAAGTATCAGAAATTCAGGTTTCATATCAGCGCTAACGAGGACAGGGGTAAATACGTGCTAAATTCTGGGGCTCCGCTGGTACTGGGTAAGCGCCTGTCTCATGCGTTATCTTAGAAGCCCTGGCTGTCACTTCATCATTGTACAGATAAGTACAAAGTCACAGAGAGTTGAGATCACTGGGTTCAGAATGAGCTATCTGATTCAAGAGCGACTTCCACCAAACCCCTGATCTCTGATTTAAGGGCGGCTATAGCTCATTTCGACTGACCTCCATTTGTCTCCCAAGCGGGGACCCACTGGCTCTGAGAGTCTTCCACTGAAACTCTTGAAAGTGGCTTAATAAGCAAACCACATTAAGCCATGGCTGCTCTGTCAAGTCCTGAGCAGTGGGTACCGGCAGTGCGACAGAGTCCTGAGTGTGCTGTTTTATTTTACCTGTAGGAATGAGTCGTCCTCTCAAAGCTTTCCGGTAACTTACAGAAATTTCATTCAACTGCATGTGTAGCAATTATCCACATAATTAACAGAAATGACAGGGACGAAGATGCAGACACCCTGGCAAAGACTGTCTCACTAGAGATCAGGGACTTGTATCTCTAGCCAGGCAGATAGATCTCTTTCTCATCAGGCCCCTGGAGAGAATTTCCAACATGCACCAGCAGGGGGCGCCCGTCATGCAGTGTGAAAGGCTTCCCATCAAGCCCCATGGGCCCCTGCTGTGTCATTATTTCCCCAGCCAGAAGTACGGCAAGTGCAGCCCCCCGGGGATAGGCC